AAAAATCTTTATATAAAAATCTTTATATAGTTTGCATAACAATGGTCTTTTGTTAAAGTGTTCTTTAGCTGGTATAAAGACGTATGCACGTGACTAATTTCTTACTCACTAATTTTTGAAAGTTGTACAAACAATGTAAATAATTGTTTATCCCATATAAGTCTACACTTTGCGGCCCGTATCTCCGTAGAACAGTGATGGCGTTTTTTTTTTACTTTTAAGCGCAGATCAAACGATACGAAAGTCATTCCAGTTTTTAGCTTCTCTTAATTTAAATTACTTTGAACACAAAATATCCGCCATATTGAAACGTCAAAATGTGAAAATTTCAAACTCTTTTATGGATGATGTTTTACATAGTCAGATGCGCTTTGTTTTTCAACAAGTAATAATTGTCCAAAAATACAGGTCTAAATCGCAAATTTTCCATTTTTAAAAAATAGGTACGCATTGCGAGTGATTGCGCTTCCCAGCGGAAGTAGAGAGCTTGGCTTGCGAGGTTGATTGCGTACATGTGGTTAGCCTATAGGATTGGCAACTGTTAGGGTGTATAGCTAATTTCGTTCAAAATAAGTATAGGTAATCATGCGATGTTGCTCGTACAATTAGGGATTAATAGTACGAGTGATATTTGGAAATTTTGCCAAAATTGGACGAGCCGCCGGGGCGAGTCCAATTTGGCAAATTTCCAAACATCACGAGTGATGTCAACATTGCATGATAGGTACTTCTCAATGTCAACATCATAATCTCTCGCCAAAGCCCAGTCCTGCCAGACTTTCAACCAAAATTTGGTGCTTTTGTTTGTATTTTCATTTAGTTATTTTGTTCAAGCAAAATTTGGTGCTTTTGCTCGTATTTTCATCTAGTTCCTCCACGGCAATTTCATTTCACATTTGTGTTTAAAATGCCTTTCCGCCATTTTGTTTGTTTTGGGAAAATCATTAATTGTACTGCAGTACAATTAATGAAATAATTGTACTCCTCTCAACCAATCAGCATCCAGTAATTTTGTCATGCTAATAATAAGTAAATTAACTGCTCGTTTGCAATCGAGGCCATCTTGGTTGATTTTGCAACCATTGGACCATATATTTCTTTATTCATTCTTTAATGTTGTTTGATGCCAGATACCGTATAAACTAGCCATAATACAGCAACATTTTTAAAAACAAACCACTAGAAAATATAAATTAACTCTACTAGTTCGCCGTAAACGGCTAAAAATTCATAAATTTTAAACTCTTTCCTTGCCCAGTCCCAAGCATCGTAGGTTAATAGAAGGTGCCAACATCTGCGTGTCTGCCAACATTCGATTCAGTAATAGTTTTAGTCATCAACATTGTAGCGATTTGTGGCCTCTGAAAGTTACGCGAGATTGTATATTATCAAATTGTCTGAACAAAAATATAGACTAACCATACCTTTCGCTGAACATAACTTGGGCCACGCTACAAGGGAATTTGACCTTTATCGATTTCCGACATTTCCCTACCTCGTCCCCAGACCGTAGGCGCTATAACAAAATTTCACATACGAGTCACTATATAAAAGATTGACATGAAGTAGTGCATCGCGATGAACAAGTAAACTGCAAAAAAACGCCCAGCCTGTAACAATGTTGATGAAAACAAGCTTGAACAATATTTTGCTGCCCATATTGTTCCTGCTTGTTAACAATGTTGTTCAGCATTGTTGAGCCTTAACAATGCTTAACACTATTGTTAACAAGCAGGAACAATATGGGCAGCAAAATATTGTTCAAGCTTGTTTCATCAACATTGTTACAGGCTGGGCGTTTTTTTCCTGTGTAGCGCAGGGCCGATTTTATGGAGTTGAGGCTAACCAGAACGCTCATATCCCACCCTTCTTTGCTCGTAAATTACTTCATGTAAACTTTTATATTGTGACTCGTATGTGAAATCTTTTTATAACGCCTATGGTCTGGGGACGAGGCAGGACTTTCCCGAGTACTAGGATGTAAACATTGTATTGTTTCGACTAGCCTGCGTAGCAGGCTCTATTTTATGGGGGAGGCCGAGGGTGGGACCTACCCATAAAAAAACCTTGCTACGCAGGCTATGTTTCGACAATTCGATTTGTATTTCCAGTTGAAGCTCTCGCCAAAAATTTAGATATTCTCAAATACCGAAATAAAATATGCAAATCTGTATATATATATATATATATATATATATATATATATATATATATATATATATATATATATATATATATATATATATATATATATATATATATATATATATATATATATATACAAGCTTGAAAATAACACTCTAAATAGTTTATCCAGTCTGCAGTCTTCAACGGGTAAGTGATAATGAGTTACATGGGAAAAAGCATGCACTGGTTTACAATTACACATAAAAACAATTAATAGTTTCGTCTACATAATAAATATGATAATAATTGTAACAAGTGGAAGAATCTTTGTAGGTGTAAGAATCAGTGGAAGAATCTTCGTAGGTGTAACCGTTAAATAAAGGTGATGCTTCTTTTCTGAACAACAGCAACAGGCCCACTTGGATGAGATGTTATATTCGGGATAATGTTCGTTTTGCAAATGAGCATTGAACTCTCCAACTCGCCTTTTCTTGAATAACAGAGAAGGAAAAAGGAGTCTTTTCTCGTGTTATAGGTTAGGACAATTATTTTTGAAATAACATAGTGAAACACAACCCCTTTTGCTATGTGACCTTCTGGTACCTTTATTGTTGACGTAAAGATTCCGTCCTGGGTGTGTATATGAACGGCCTCATGATCACTTGATCGAATGGTTATGAGTTCACCCTTGTCAGAAATGCTCAAAGAGTTTACCAAATCTTGGTCGCGCTCAAACTTGTATCTCAAATGTCCGGTATTGTCAAAGATATACACATGTTTCTCGAGATTTGCAATGACGATAATATTATCGTTATTATTCGTTGCAATTCTCACCGCCATTCTGTGTGTTGCATCAAGAAACTCCAACGTACACTGATACTGTACATCGTAATTATGATCCAATGCATACATCACATAACTTTTAGTATTCACTGCATTACCTGAAGTGTTTGTTTGTGTTTGAAGCCATCTGATGGCGTACACGTTATCGTTGCTATCCACAGCTAGTGCCATCAGTACTTGGTAGATCAATTCGCCATCTTGGGGCTCAGGAAAATTAACCACCTTGATTTCCTTTGTGCTAGAAATAATTTTTATAGCGCCACTAGTACTCCGTGTGATTATCTCACTTCGGCTGTTCACAACAGCAGAATAAGGCTTTATTACTTCAGTAACCAGGTGTTTTGGTGGTTGAATCATTTCATCCGACGGCGCTTGTTTCCAAACCTCGTACCAACCGCGTGCAGGGTTAAAATTGCGCTCAGACAACTCAATTGTCGGCCAGCATTGCACGTCGGGATATTTACCACCGAATTTCGCAGTGAACTCAAAAATGATGAAATTTGTTAGCATGACTGATTTGACATTCTCGAATCGTTCGGCTTTATTTAGCTTTGACTTAAGCCCACCGCTTAAATAAACTGAGAATATTTGTCGAACGGCAGACAAACCATGAAGCTCTTCAAGGAATAATCTACAAGCGGTTGTTGTTGAATCCGGATTTTCGAGGCACTCGAGAATTCTGGCAACGACACGTAATTTGCACGCCATTATTCTCTCTGTAACATTCAGGCCTTCGTTCCAGAAAGCTTCCGTAGCTCTTTCTCGGGCTGTTTTCAAAAGATCTTTAGCAGATTTAAAATGCTGATTCGATACTAGACTTAACCTTTTCGTAGCGTGAGCTAGTGCCAAGGCTTCGTTGAAGATACCACACTCGCCATCTTTCGGTAACACTGATGTTTCATTTTGACCGTTTTCAGCTTGTTCTGGTGCCGTTGTATGCTTGACATTAGATTGGTCAAGCGCTAGATTAAGTAAAAGCACACCTTCTTTCAAGAAACTGTAGCTGCTGAGTAGATCTTTACGGGATATACAGTCGAGTGTGGTTTTGATGTCGTTTAAATCTCGAATAATTATTTCACGAAATTTTTCATCCGTCGTGTCGCCATCTTTTAGCTTTTTTGCTGCGAAATCACGCGCCTTGTTCCACAGTAAGCCCACTGTTGAACTTAGAATATTCGTAATTAACAGATGCCATGCCGGAATGCTGTTAGTGTCAGAGACTGCGAATCGAAATTGTTTGTAAAGCAACTTATCGTGTATAGAGTATATCGTGTTGTATTCCGTGTAGAATGATGTCATGGTTAAAAGTAATAATATGTTGTTCCTGTCACATGACACGTCAGTGGAATGGGGAATAATGGCTTAAGGGAAGGGTAATCAGGCATTTTTGAGAGTAAATTTTGACACAACAGGCATAAACACCAATAAACTTGTTTGATTTGGCAAGACTTTAGTCAGTAACATTTTAAATTTGTAATAGTAGTGATAAATTATTTAGTTTGAAGTTAACTGTGTCCATAGTTACCGGCGTGAAGACGTCTTCAAATATTATTACTGAGTTCCGAAATGCCTACGCTTGCTTCCTGTAATTTAGCGTACGATGTCACCACGCTTGTTTGTATAGACCATACTTATTAATTAATTGAGCAATATTTGCTGAACGATGATGGCCAAAAGTTTAACTATTTAACAAATAGATAAGATTTTGCCGTTGTTTGTTCAGTTATAGATACACAGAATGACGTCATAATGTGGGAAGAACAAAAAGATGGGCACGAGTTCCCACATTATGATGTCATACTGTGTATCTATAACTGAACAGACAACAGCAAGATCTTCTCTATTTGTTTTATATAATAAAAAGAAAACCCCCGAATTAAACAGGTAAAAAAAGCTTTTTTTTATCCACCCAAATATTTGGAAATTTGAAAAGTCGATATTCTACAAAATATCACGTGTACATGATCTGTATAAATAACGTATTTCCGTGCGTCTGTCCTCTAATAGATGGCTCTAGACCAATGAAAGCGCTTGAATTCTTAACATTATTATATAGTTTAAAATCAGGAAACGGAATGATGAACGCAATGAAGAACAGAAAATCTCGCAATCTTTAAAATCCACAATGAGAATAGTACCTAGAATTTTGAAACCCGAGAAGGAAAGTGCAAGATTTCTTAAATTGCATTATGGAATAATCGTGAATCTTTATGTACTATTTAAAAAACGAGCAGGAGTGTTTTATTAGGTTTAAAGCCACGAGTGACTTTAGACCTAATAAAACACGACCTGCGAGTTTTTTAAATGGCTTCAAAAACGTTTGCATAATAAGTCAAATCTTTATATAAAAATCTTTATATAAAAATCTTTATATAAAAATCTTTATATAAAAATCTTTATAT